GTTGGAGGCGTTTATCATGGAGCACTTCCCGCGGGGCATTGCTTTCACCAAAACCTGGCTCACCCCAGACGTTCTTGACCCTGAGGTCTCGCTCCCGGGGTATGCGTCATTCCGTTCGGAGCGTGCACAACCAAGGATGGGTGGGGGCGTCACGCTGTTCATTCACGAAAGTGTACCGGTTACTCACCTCTACAGCTACGAGGATCTTGACGGTCAAGGAGAAGCGTTGTGGTGCAAAACCAAACTGTGCTACAACGGCCACACGACAATAGGTGTCCGCTACAGACCACCAGCGACAGCCCCGGTGGCCATCCTGGACGATAGACGGCGATGGGATGGCGACGGCCACTGTTTGATTTAGGGTGATTTCAATGTGCCTCTAATCGATTGGGACGAAAACCGCTGCCTACCGGGAGCGGACAAATTCTCNGAACAAACGAGACGAGTTGGAAACGTTTTTCGTGGAGCACTTCCCGGTGGTCACCGCCCTCACCGAAACCGGGCTCACCCTCGACGTTCTTGACTCTGAGGTATCGCTCCCGGGGTATGCGTCATTCCGTTCGGAACGTGCTCAACCAAGAATGGGTGGGGGCGTCATGCTGCTTATTCACGAAAGTGTACCGGTTACTCACCTCTACAGCTACGCGGCTCCTGACGGTCAGGGAGAAGTGCTGCGGTGCAAAACCAAACTGTGCTGCAACGGCTACACGATGAAAGGAGTCTGCTACAGACCACCGGCGACAGTCCCGGTGGCCATCCCGGACGATATGCAGCGATGGGCTGGCGACGGCCACTGTTTGATTTTGGGTGATTTCAATGTGCCCCTAATCGATTGGGACGAAAACCGCTGCCTACCGGGAGCGGACCAATTCTCCAGAGACCTCCTCGAAGTAGCGAACCAGTTGACCCTGCATCAGCATTCCCGCGAGCCCACCAGGATCAACGACTATGCCCAGTCAGTCCTGGATCTGGTGTTATACCCTCGGGTATCGGACGTCGACGGCATTGACCACCTCCCGCCACTCGGTTCGAGCGAGCATTCGACCCTGTTGATGCATTGGCGACGTAGAGCTCCGTATCGCTCTCGACCACATTCCGGACCCAATGTCTGGAAAGCGGATTACCATGACATGAGGATCGCAGCGTAGTCCCTCAATGGGGTGATCACCTGCCCTGAGGGGGTAGACCTTGCCTGGACTACCTTCCGGGACGGCGTCCTTAAATTGGTGGCAGCCTTCTCTCCTCCTAAACGCTTCCGGTCACACGCTATGGGCCCCCCTGGTTTGACCGCGAGTTACGTCAGATGCTTAAGCGTCGAAACAGGGCTAGGAAAGCGTTTCGCGCTCACGAATCTAACTATGACCAATACAAGGCGCTGCGTAATGCGTGCTCTGAAATGAAATCCCGAAAACGGCGAGTGTACGAGGAAGCCCTGGCATCCGAAGCGGCCTTTATGCCGAAGCGGTTCTATGCACACCTCCGTCGCCGCACGCGTGCAACGGCAGGCGTACCATCGTTGGAGTATAACGGTGTCCTGGCAGAAACCGATGTTGACAAGGCGGAAGCTTTTGCGCAACACTATGCATCTGTCTACGCCACCGATACATCACCGACTCCCCCCCCTTTGTCGTGCTCTGCGCCTCTGCTGTCTTGGCAAGCCATCTCGGTAGACGAGCTGTGTGATGCAGTTTCGACTCTGAAAACGTAGCAGTCACCGTGTCCGGATAGACTGCATCCCATCGTGCTGAATGAGCTGGCGCCGGTCATTGCACCTACCTTGGCCGTCTTATTTGAACAATCATTGACCGAGGGGAGGTTGCCCGCCGAGTGGAAAACCGCGATTGTACGCCCTCTCTTCAAAAGAGGAGCCCGTGGGGACCCCGTCAACTACCGCCCG